CAGGGGGTTGGACTAGAAGACCTCCAAGGTACCCTCCCAATTCTGTTATTCTGTTCATATGATGTGAATGTGCCCACTAAAACCTGTGTCTTTTTCGTATCACAACTTGCTTCATATCATAGCATTTTAAATTCCCCCTATCCCTCCCTCCCTCTCTTTTTTTCTCTCTTTCTTTCTTTCTTTTTGCTAGAGAGGGAAGCCCCCTCCCCCCATGGCAAATTAGAAAAGAAAGAAATAGCAACCACTACATGCAAAGCTGGAAGGCATGATTTCTGATCAGCATGCATTTGGTATCCCCCCCCCAGCCCAGACACCCCTTTTCAATCTACCATTGAGAAGAATCACAATGCAAAAAAAGTGTATTTTCATTCTTTTTTTTTAATTGAAAGGATAATAAAAAATTTCTTCATATTGCTTCAACAGAATGAGAGACAGCAACTTGCTGGGGTAATGCTTTTTTTGTTTGGTTCGGTTTTATACAGCAAATGAAAAGGAAAAATAAAATTTGTACCTTTAAGCAACATGAATCCAACATATACACAGAAAAAAAAACCCCAAAAAACAAAGGCAAAGCGATTTAAACCAAATGACTTCCATCAATACATTGGCGAATCATATATTATGTCAATAAATACCCAGATTTAGCTTAGTTTTTTTTTTAAAGAACAATGGGTCTGAACCAAAAACCTTTTACATAATATGCAGAAAGGGCAAATATGTATTTATTTACAAATCAGTGCATACCGAGGTGAGGATTGGTGCCAAAACCAAGTGAATAAATTAAAGCAAGTGGGTGGGAGAAACATGGAGGCAGGACAAAACGCCTGTGTCCATTACCACCCGACATTCATTGGAAAACGAAGCTGTTTTCTAGAAAAATATGCCGAGAAAATAGGAATGTTCTAAAACTGATTGCTTTAGTGCCAAAAAAAAAGGTATACATAATCAGTACCCAGAGGGAAAAACTTATAAAGTAATAATTAATTAATATAAATTGGCATGTAAAAAAAATCCATCAATTAAATAAAAATAGGGAAAACTATAATATTCACAAAATACTTTAAAAAAAAAAAAAGCTGCCCAAAGCAGGATTATGCCACACTTCTTCTGTAGACATTTTTTTTTCTCCTGCCACCCATTTGTTAACGGTTTCTTTGCATAGACCAGATGGGGGCCAGCTGTCTTCACAAAGACTTCCAACTAGAAAGAAATTTGGGACCCTTTGTAAATTATTGAAGGTCAAAGAGCAAAGTCGATCAGCTCAGATAATGAAAACACCAACATGTGTTTTTTTTCCTGTACCACCACCAAGTTCCCAGATCATAAATGCACCCCCTCCTGGGCTAGTCCCAACTCTTAAAGCCAACCACCCTAAACCAAGTCACCCCTAAGACTCCGGTAACCAGAAGCTGCGAAGCCACATCAAATTATCTCCCTGTTCCCTTTTCCTGAACAACAACCCTCTCATTTTACAGGGAAGAGAGCAATGCACAAATGTGCAAAACTTTAGCCCCGGTGTGCACCCTAGCCAAACCTGAAAGAGCTTATTGCAGAAGATCTGTAGGATATGATCCCCCAAAGTCAAGATGGCGGCCAGGACAGGAGATGCGAAGCTCCATTTAGTACTTTTGTGGGCCCAAAATTTCAAGATGGTGCCCCCAACAGTGCAATTGAAGCTCTCTCTGGGTTTTATGGGTGCCACCTTAACTTCTGGGGCCATATCCACATCTCTGAAAGTTGTCCAGATTAAGAAACACTGATCTAGATGGTATTCCTCAGCGTTTCAGCAACAAGCAATGCAATACTTCACTTTCACTCTTAACAATGTCAATTGGGCTTATCATAAAAACTATCTCGTTCTCCTGACTTGGCCAGTGCAAAAGAAAAAACAGAACAGTGTTTTCTCCACTTCCAACTAACTCTGAACATTAAACTCTGAGCTATAGTGGCTGATTGCTGAATAGGACTGTTTTCATGTTCTTTTAGAAGACTAAAACTATCATCCATCATCAAGTTGCAACAGAACTCCTGAGAACTCAAAATACAGCTCTGTGGCCATTACAATTTATCACCCCAACTCAAACAATGAGAACTACAGCTTCTTGGGAATTTGGTGGACATCTACCTCTTGTAAAAATGGAGTGTCTTCTCCCACAAGAGATATCCAAGATTGCTAAAATCATAACATGTTTCTCTTCTTCATTCTCCTCCCAAGGCTATAAATTGTTCTCTGTTATTTCACCACCTTCAATCCAGGTGGGCCTCCATAACAACAAATAAGGTATTTTTTCCATAAAGGTTCCCATGGCCAAATCCTTAGGTAATTAAATAAATAAAAACAATAATTTATAACACAATGTAAACTCTCTCTTTTTTGTTAAATAATTCATAGGCTCTGTTCCTCTTTCTTAATAGTTTAGAGTTTGATAATTTCTCCACCACAGAAGAATGGCTATCCTGTTTAACTACCAGTCTTATACAAGTAAAAAAACTGTAGAAATCAGGGTGGTTTTTTCCCCCCCTCCTTAAATTGGCTCTTCATAATACAATGCATGAAAGCCTGCTCAAAACAGTCACTTTCAGCTGTATTGCAACATTTAAAGCAGTGGTTCTCAACCCCAACAACTTCAAATTGTGTAATTTCAATCCCCAGAATTGTGCAGCCAGCCATGCTGGCTGGGGAATTCTGGAAGCTGAAGTCCACAAGGGTTAAGAAACACTGATTTAGAAGGGCCCCCCCATTCCCGCCTTCTAAGGCTCAAATGCTTTGCTAAGCAATGGCTATGATTCCAAAACAATTGCACAGCAGTTACATCCATCACAAATATTCCAAAATTCTGCTACTCTCCAGTAAAAGAAGCTCCCTTTACTGTGTGCCGCCCTGCTTTCTCCAAATATCAGAAGTAGCTAACAAATAATATACATTTCCAAAATTAGTTCCAAAATTTCTAGATTGCATCTGCATTACAAAGCAAAACATCTTTGGAATCAATTCAATACACTCCGGAAAACAAGGTTAGGAAATTCCAGAAGAAAGATGGCAGGAAGGGAAAGAGACAAAAAGCTTGTGGACAACCTGTTAAACCTTCTTAGACCCTTCCCCTCACCCACCCACCCATGCCAAGTTCTTAATTTTTTCCTTGAGGAATCCAAGATTGTGGGATAGGGTTTCCAAATCCATAGTGCAGTTTTAGTGAGGAAGGGAAAGAGGGACGAAGGGATTAAGGTGGGAGGGTGGGAGAGAGAGAGAGGGAGGGAAGGAAGGAATCCTCCATCCCTCTCTAACTCCTTCTTTTCTTTCTCCTGTCCCTTCCCCCTTCCCTCCCTCCTTAATTCATGCAGGAATTAAGGAGGGAGGGAAGGAGGAAGGGAGGGAGGGAGGGATTAAGGAGGGAGAGAGGGAGGAAAGGGAAGGAAGGAAGGAAGGAATCTTCCCTCCCTAACTCTTTCTCTCTCTCCTTAATTCCTGCAAGGAGGGAGGGAAGGAGGAAGGGAGGGAGGGAGGGAAGGATTAAGGGAAAGGAAGGAATTATGGAGGGAGGGAAGAAAGGATGAAGAGGAGGGAATTATGGAGGGAAGGAAGGAATAATCGAGGGAGGGAGGAAAGGGAAGGAAGGAAGGAAGGAGGGAGGAAAAGAAGGAATCTTCCCTCCCCAACTCTTTCTCTCTCTCCTTAATTCCTGCAAGGAGGGAGGGAAGGAGGGAGGGAGGGAGGGAGGGAGGGAGGGAAGGATTAAGGGAAAGAAAGGAATTATGGAGGGAGGGAAGAAAGAAAGGATGAAGAGAAGGAGGGAATTATGGAGGGAAGGAAGGAATAATCGAGGGACGGAGAGAGGAAGGAGGGAAGGGAGGGAGGAATTATGGAGGGAGGGAGGGAGGAAGGAGGGAGGGAATGGAGGAGGAAGGAAGGAAGGGAGGGGAAGAGGGGAGGAATTATAGAGGGAGGGAGGAAGGAGGGAAGGAAGGAAGGAGGAAGGGAAGGATTAAAGGAAAGGAAGGAATGAATTATGGAGAGAGGGAAGGAGGGAATTATGGAGGGAAGGAATGAATAATCGAGGAGAGAAGGAAGGGAGGGAAGGGAGGAATTATGGAGGGAGAGGAGAGGAGAAAGGAGGGAAGGAAGAAATGAGGGAGGGAGGGAGGGAGGGAGGAAGGAGAAGTTGCACCTTAAAATGTAATCATCTTGGTGTTTAATCCAAAAGAGGAGAAGGGGAGACGAAGTAAGGGGATATACCTAACGCAAATAAATCCTCAAGGGCTGGTCTGCCACATATCTCTTTCCCTTTCAGCACCTTCATTGACCACAGCCTAACCAAGAAGCCTGTGACAAATAAATAATATATATTATTCAAAAAGAAAACGATTGTACATAATGCATGATATAAGCTATAACTAACTTAAATAAAGTCCCATGCTTTGTTGAAGCTTCGGCGACTTGTTTAGATCGGTGATCCTTTGCAATAAATAGGGGAGCAAAAAAAATAATCCAAATAATATAATTATTTCCCCGGTTGTAAACGTTTTCCCATTTCAGCAATAGCAAATCATTTGCACAATAAATAAACTTCTGTAACTCACAAAAGCAATGGCAGAAAAATTGTCTGCAAACATTTCGGCATGTTTGCAGAAGGTGCTGGGTGAGTGATCCACAAACTTAAAAGGTATACAAGGGATATTCCTTACAAAGTCTCCCCATCCCCCCCCATACAAAATGCAAGAAAACTGTTTGAATTTGCAAAATTCTCCTTCCGCCCACCCCCCAAAAATGCCATTAAGAACTCAGAAGGTTTTCACAAATAGTAAAAAACAAAAACAAAAAACTTTAGCACTTTTTTTTTCTCCACAAAGTGTCCAAAATAGAACAATATTGATTTATCTGCTTAGAAAAAATCTTCTTCCCAGCATATCTTGTAGAAAGGAATGTTTATTCACCATAGGAAATGAGACACTGTCCAGCCTTTCCTTTTATCAAAAAAAAAATATAAAATAAAAATAAAAATTTAAACCTTCATGGTCTCCACTAGAGATGAGTTAATGGTATCTTCAAGAAGCTGGCTGTCTGAAAAAGATGCAGGGATTTCTGGGACAGATTCAGACAACCCAATCAAGGACTCCAGAAAACAGCTGCTCTGATCTGCAGGTTGAGAGAAGCTGGGGAGATTTGGAAATTGCAGCTGCCAAACGGTAAAGTTGTCCACGTCCTCATACTCCTTCAAGGAGTTATAAAGAGGTCCCAGGTTGTAATCTGAAAAGGACTGGAAAAATTCTAGAGAATCGGAGAAGCTCAGATCCATGTAGTTCTTGGACTCCAGTTCTTCAGAGGAAGATGGAGAAAAGCTGGCACTCTCTTCATCCTGCTCAATGGAGATCTCCTCAAGGAGACCGCTTGGCCCCTGGTTGGCATTCTCATCCAAGTATTCGGTGATGTCTGATGAATAGCCAAAACCACCGCTGGAGCCCATCTCTCCAGCAGGGTTGGTAGCACACTGGTATTCTACTTCCACACTAAAGAAACCAGAAGGGTGGAAAGAACTCAGATTATCCTGGCAGTGGCCAACACCACTGCTGTCTTCTTCTGCATCCGAATCGTTGAAGTGGAGGATCCGGGCCAGGCTATTGTCATCGATGTCCAATTGCAACTTCTCAGACGGGTGAGTTCCGTACGACTCTTCCAAATCCTCGGTTTGATTGGACGACACCGACGAGTCGGTTGTGTTGCTACTGCAGCTGTTCTCGCCCACAGTCTCCAAGGTGCTGCTGAACTTGAAGACGGGCATCAGCGAGACGGCCCTTTCCTCGTAGGAAGCCTTCTTGACCGGATAGATAAATGGGTGAATATGGTCCCTGAAGGGTAGCTCAGACTCGCTGTTTTGCTGCCTCTCTTCCAACTCCAGCCTCATGACGGTGTGGAGGAAGTGGGTGTGCACCCGAGGTTGGTTGAACTCAATTCTCCCCTCTGTGTTCCCACAACCATCTCTGGTGCAACCACAAGGAAAAGAGGTGTAATCCATCTGTTGGAAGAGAGATCAAAGATTTAGAATAGTTTAATGAAGAGAAGGACGAGGGGGGACAGGATAGCAGCGTTCCAATAGCTCAGGGGCTGCCCCAAAGAAGAGGGAGTCAAGCTATTCTCCAAAGGGCCTGAAGGCAGGACAAGAAGCAACGGGTGGAAACTAACCAAGAAGAGAAGCAACCTAGAACTAAGAAGAAACTTCCTGACAGTTAGAACAATTAACCAGTGGAACAACCTGCCTCCAGATGCTCCAATACTGGAAGCCTTTAAGAAGAGACTTTTGTCGGGAATGGTATAGGGTTTCCTGCCTGAGCAGGGGGTTGGACTAGATGACCTCCAAGGTCCCTTCTAACTTTGTGTATTCTATTCTATTCTGTTCTGTTCTGCTCTGATTATTCCCATTCCCATTCCATTCTAGAAGAGACACCTTACATCAGATCTCACAATGTTTCCATTCTGTTTGATCTTAGGACATAAACATCTGGATGTTATTAACTGCATTATGTGCACTAAGCCTCTTAAGCCCTCCCCCCAAGGACTGTGTCATACACTGCATGAACACACAGTTGTGATAGCTAATCGGCTGAAGAGAGTATGAGCTATGATCGGTTGCTGTGAGAATGAAGGGAGAGTTTTTCCCGTGTGCCCTGTATGTTCTCTATAATTTACCCAGTGATGTTCCTGCTGTTTTCATTTACCTGACTATGCTCCCGTTTGCCTCTTATTTACTGTAAATATATTTATTTATATAAAACCGCAAGTTCTTTGAGAGCAGGCAAGAGAATTTCATTTTTAATGGGTGCCAATGTGCTCACGGTTAAAAAAAAAACTTATCAGCTTCTCTGATTCCATTTGGACACCAGCTGCCGCAATTCTCTGACAGAACACAATAAATTGTTTAATTTGAGGTCACCCCAGTGTTGCTGAGAAGAACTCTTCCAAGATTCCTGGCCCCAAATTAGTTTCAAGATCCTGCAAAGTGGGTCTAGTTCTAGCCATCCACATGAAACATATACACTGTTGGGCATTCCAATGTGCAATTTAATTAAACAGCAGTTCCTCTTCAAAAGTAAAGGATTCCAATGGCAAACCATTGGTCACTACAAGGTCTTTACTAGGAAACATTTTTCTTATCCATTTTGAAACAAATCTCTTAGTGAATGAGCACAAACATTTTTTTTCTCCAGTTCCATCTTCCGGAATCTTTCCCCCCCCCCAAATTTTTTATTGAAGTTTAAGATAAACTACAAATAAAAACAAAAGTCAAGAAAGAAAAAGTGCAATGATAAAAAAAGAAATCTAATCAGATTTCCTTCTGGTGGATTAAAGTTCCAGAATTCAACAGATGTACGATTTTTAGAGTCCACCTGGCCAGCAATTCTGGGAGTTAAATCTAGCACATCTGTTGGGTTTGGGGAACTGAAGACAAATCTACTTGGAAGTAGCTAGGTTGCAGCTGTCTACTTTAAATAAAAGAGTCCATTATCCACATCACTCTGCCTTAAATATCAGTCCCCAAGAAATCCCACTCTATTCATTTTGTGTAGGTATATTTCTCTGTTCCATCATTTCTGCTTCAGTTCTTGGTACTTGGATTGTTTAAAGCCGAGAGATCTCATTTCTAAGATCTGCCTAAGTTACCAAACATCAAATGAAGCCACAATGAAATGGTGAAACAATGCCAAAAAAACTCACACAGCCAAGACAATAAGCATGAATGGTTTCATATTACTTATTGAAACGAACCACCAGACTTATTAATAAGTTTGGAAAGAAACCAAACAGTCTTCCAAAACCATTTTTAGAAGTTAACACAATTAAATAAAACTAATATTTAAAATCAGCCGGAATATTAAATTTGAAGGACACTATAGGAAGCTGGTGGGAGGTTTCTTTTCATTACAATACTCTTTGGCTTATGACCACAACCGAGTCCCAAAATTTCCTTTGCTGAACAAGACAAGTCGTCGAGTGACTTTTGTCCCATTTTACGGCCATCCCTTCCATCCTTCTTAAGGGGGATCACCTACCTGGCATTTAATTCCTGCCACACTGCAGCTACAGGTATCGGGGTCACAAAACTCTTGGCAGTTACAGCCGCACTTTTTCCGAGAACGACGAATCCTTTGCAACTGCCGTTTCTCCTCCTTGTCAATCTTCTTCACCCCCATGGCCTTGAGCAAGGCCCGCCTCTTCTTGGTGGTGTAAGGCTGGAGGAAGAAGCCGTTCTCCAGATCCACATTACTGATATCCACATCGTCCACTGAGATGTCCTCTATGGTCAGCCGCTTCGCTTCCTCAGACACCTTCGTACCGTTCATAGTGAGCTGGATAAGGGGGAAGACAGAGAAGACCCTCAGTCCCGCAAGGTGATACTTTGGGGGTTCAGGACTTTCTAGGCAGAGATCCATCCCCTTCTCCATCCCCATCACCATGTTTGGGGTGGGGTCTTATCCAGGCGGGTCAAATACAAGGCAAATGCCTGGTGCCATGCTGAAAAATCACCCCAGGTATTTTCTTACCAATACAGGTAGTCCTCGACTTACGACCACAACTGAGCCCAACATTTCTGTTGCTAGTTGTTAAGTACGTTTTGTCCCACTTTGCGACCTTTCTTGCCACCATTGTTAAGTGAGTCACTGCAGTTCTTAAATGAGTAACAAGGCTGTTAAGTGAATCTGGCTTCCCCCATTGGCTTTGCTTGTCAGAAGGTCGCACAAGGGAATCACATGACCTTGGGACACAGCAACGGTCATAAGTATGAGCCGGTTGCCAAGCAACTGAATTTTGATCACGTGACCGTAGGGATGCTGCAACAGTTGGAAGTTGGGCATAAGTCACTTTTTTTCAGTGCCGTTTTCAGTCATTAAATGAACTGTTGTAAGTCAAGGACTACGTGTGTATGACCAGGATCCTGGCTTCCTCTGTTTTGTATGTTCCTCCTAGAAGCTTAAACAGAAGCTTAAAATGATGCCCGCTCCAAAATTCAACATCAGCAGAAACAAAACAAAAAACCCCACCACCAAAAGAAATTCTCAAACATCCTGCGAATGTCATTCTTCTCCATGGAAAGAAAATTACTGAGAAATGACAAATTAGGTTTCAAGGCCATATTAACCCCTGGCTATCTCATAAAGGGGGTGGGCTGTTGTTCCGAGATTTAAAAAAAAATAAGAACTGTTATAAACAATGTACAACGATTTCTAAAAGTTTTTTTTTTAAGTAACTAAGAGGCAGCCCAGTGCAAAGTTCTTTCCCCAGGAATGCAAAACATTGTGGCGCACATTTTTTCAACTCCCCTCAAGGAGAGTTTGTGTCCCCACAGATTGCTCCTGGTCGTAGGGCTAAGTGGCTTTTTTCTGCCTTCTGGGGCCAAGGGGAAGGAGAGCCCCCCAAGCAATCTGAGTTCCTTAAAATTTTCCAAACATGAAGAATTGAATGCTTGCAGAAGAGAAGATTCTTACTTTCGATTTAAGGGCTTCAAGTCTCTCTTCTTTCAGCCTGTCCTTCAGCTTCTCAAGGCGGTTGATCTTCTGCTGCTTGCAAAACTCCGACACGGTGAATTCCCGGGAGAAGCCATGCTTCCTAGCCATCCCCAAGGTGCAGCCCCCACAGCTAGACACGGTGGTGAATCCTTGGCAACGCGGGAAGTAGAAGACAGTGACCCGGTCAAATGTGACATTGTTCTGTCTCAACCGCTTGCTTTTCTTCAGGATGGACTTGGCTGCAGGAAGAAGGAAGGAAGGAAATGAGTATTGACTGCCATTATTCTTTTGACAAACCTCTTGTTTTTCCGCCCAACTTCCCTCTAAATTAATGTTTCTCTATTTCAGCCCCTTTAAGATGCGTGGACTTCAACTCCCAGAATTCTCCAGGCAACAAGGCTGCACTTCTATTCCCAGAATTCCCCAAGCCAGCTATTCTAGTTAGGGAGTTGAAACCTATATTGCAGAGATTGAGAAACGTTGCTCTAAGTCAGTGAGGACTAGGAGCTTGGATTTTAATTCCTACTAAAAGACATCCATGATAGCAAGAGCACTTAAGACTTATATACCGTTTTATAGTGCTTTACAGCCCTCTCTAAACGGTTTACAGAGGAGTCAGCCTATTGCCCCTCAACAATCTGGGTCCTCATTTTACTGACTTTGGAAAGATGGAAGGCTGAGTCAACCATGAGCCCATCAGGATTGAACTCCTGGCAGCGGGCAGAGTTAGCTTGCAATACTGCATTCTAACCAATGCGCCACCACGGCTCTTGATATATTACAGGTAGTCCTTGACTTATGACTGATCACTTAGCAACTGTTTGACTTTATGATAGCCCCCCCCCCAAAGATACTTATGACCTGGATTCAAAGTTCCAATGTCCACTTCCTCCCCCAAGGCCACACGACTGCATTTTGGACACTCAGGCAGTGATTTGCAGCATCCTGTGGTCACAGGCACCACTCTGGGCAAAGCCAGCTGAAGCTCCCTTCAGCTGGCAGCACCCGTTTTCAGCCGCCCTCCTTCTCTGATCCACGTGCCTTCCCTGGCACGGCCATTCCTGCAGGAGGGCACTGCGTGTGCCACCCGATACTTTTGGGTATGGCTTTTATCCTGGCCAGAAGCCAGACCCGGCCTCTCTCCTCCCGTCTCCACGTGCACATTCATAACTTGAGCTCAGAGGCTATTTAAGGTAGGGTCGAGTTTACAAAGAAGTGTCGTCTCACCACCACCACCACCCGTCCCCCCACTGCACGGGCTTGACACGGGCATGGAGCCGCATGCTGAAATATCCGTAAGTGTTATCCAACTGCCCCAGTGAGCTCCTTCGGTGCCGTTAGCAAGGAAATCTGAAGGATATCAATAGAAGCAAAAAATCTCTGCTTTCTTCTTTTAAAAAAAGAGAGAACCTGGCCCTCCCTCTTTCCCTGCAGACAGGCAAGCCCACCTCAAAGCAACCCATTTGCCATGCCATCCTTGGTAACCCTTGGCTTGTTCCCCAGCGTCTGCCCTGACACCAGCTGCCGTACACTTAATCTCTGTGCAGGTGATCCCTACAAAAAACAAAACAAAACTGGGCACTTGGAGCTATTTATCTTAAAGTGGCAACCTGTGGAACAGGTTTCTGATGGGCTTTAGAAAAAGGGTTAATCTCCGCTGCCGGGATTAGGGCTTTCCTCCCTCCATCTGGTAAAGCACATTTATGTATTTGTTCTTTTTAAACTCAAGAAACAAAGAGAGGACAAGGCAAAGGAGGGGGGGGGAAACAACACCACAGGGAGAAGCTGAGCAGGCTAGTAAGAAAAGACAGGATGAGAATGAATTAGGAAGAGGCAAAGATGAACTATTAGTAGAATAGGAGGAAGGAAAGACGAAGGAGTCAAGCTATTCTCCAAAGCGCCTGAAGGCAGGACAAGAAGCAAAGGATGGGAACTAATCAAGGAGAGAAGCAACCTAGAACTAAGGAGAAAATGGGAGCAATTAACCAGTGGAATGGCTTGCGTCCAGAACTTGTAGATGCTCCAACACTGTTCAATTTTAATGAAGATGGCTTTAGTGTAGATGGCTGTAAACTGAACAGCCCTCTCTCAACAGAGGGGGAAGGATACAACACCACCTCTCTTCTCTTTACAACACAGAAGTTCCAAGAAGATTCCACACCCATTTGCACTATTCAGGTGACCCTGAGGGCACAGATAAACCTCCAGGTGGCCTCAGAAAGAGTACTAACAACCAGCTGACTGCAAGGAGTATATATCCTTCCATTCCCCACCACCCAAGTCAGAACCGAAGAAGCTTCTTGGAGGAGAAGCGAAACGTCTTCAAGGAAAAACAAGGAAGTCCAGTTGCCCCTTGAAAAAGCACCTTTGGGACAACCCTGACCTGGATGGCTGAGGATCTCCATAGACATCCAGACTCCTTTGTTATAGTTCTTCTTTCATGCAAAACCACTGTGCTGCTTTGAGCATCAAAGTGGTGGGACAAAGCCTCTCTCTTTCCCTAATAGTTTATTCTGAGCAAAAAAAAAAAAAACCTTGTGGATTGCAACTATGGGCTCTGCAAAACCTGGCTAGCTCAGGGTGGTTTAGTTTAAGCTGGCAGTTTGCAGAATTCAATTGAAGAGAGATACATGGAGTCAAGCCAATCTGAGCACATTCATAATACGCATTCAGCTAGATCGATCTGGAATCCATTTACTTAAAATGGGCTCAAGTCTTCTAGATCAGGGCTTTTCAACCAGTGGTACGGGTACCACCTGTGGTACATTGGCACCTGGCAGGTGGTACGCGACCATCCTAGAAAAGTGGTAGTGGGGGAGGGGAATGAGCTGAACCGGTGGCAGCACCGCACAAGCCTGAGTGAGAGATGGCTGGAGCTGCAGGGCTGTCAGGGCTCAGCGGAAGCGCCAGGATCAGCGCCAGACTCCAGCTGGAAAGCAGCACTGATCCTGGCGCTTCTGCTGAGCCCAGAAGAAGCGCCGATCAGCTGGACTGTTGCAGCCTCTCCAGGGTCTTGTGATTTACATTCAGATGCTTGGCAACTGATTCATATTTATGACGGTCACAGTGTCCCAGGGTCATGTGAAGTGACCAAAACCTGCTGCAACCACCCAGCAGATGGGGGGAATAAAAACCAAACACCCCCCACCCCACCACCCCTGCTGCCAATCCTCAACAGAAATGCTCACAACAATGAAAACCTCGGACAGGAGGAAGAGCGCCGCCGGGTGGGCAGGCAGGTGTCTTGCTCGGCTGTGCCTTGGGGGGCACTTTTTTCAGTGCCATTGTAACTTCAAACAGTCACTAAGCGAACTGTTGTAAGTCGAGAACTACCTGTACTTTATCATTTTTTTCCTTTTTTTTTTTTTTTGTTCATCAGGTTTTTGACACCTTGCTAGGCGACTGGTCGTACTCGGATGTTGCCATATCCTAAAAGTGGTACAATGGGTGAAAAGGTTGAAAAGCCCTGGACTAGATATTAAATAATGAGAATTTCCCTTCTGGAGAGGAAAAAGGAAAGCTAAGAGGTGAACCATAGCCAAAGAATCTGTGGGCAAGAATTACAAATACAGTCTCTATACTAGTGACCAGTTCCTTGCAATCTCTGCTCCGCTGCAACCTTTTGCAACCTTATGACCATTGATCAAAATTTGGAGGCTTGGCACCTGGCCTGTATTTATGATGGTTGCAGTGTGCTGGGATCATGTGATCCCCTTTTGCAACCTTCTGACAAGCAAAGTAAATGGGGAAGCCTGATTCACTTAACAACCACTTGACCAATTGCAGTGATTCAAAAAAGGTCATAAAATGGGGAAAAAAACTCACTTAACAAATGCCTCAATTAGCAACAGAAACTTTGGGCCCAATTGTGGTCGTAAGTAGAGGACTAACTGTATTTCTCGTCCTGGGCCAAGAGAGGGAATCCTTCCTTCCCCTCTTCCCCTCCCTCCCTGCCTCCCTCTTTACTCTTTTCCTTCCTTCCTTCCTCCCTCCCTCTCCTCTATCTTCTCCCAAAATCACATTTTTTTTAAAATCCTAATCTTCCTCAATCAAGACAGAACGCATATCCCATTGCCAAGGATGAAGATGCAAAGGAAGGAAAACGAAGCCAATTACAATTTGCTACCCTGCTTGAGTGTTTTGTCATCCTCCCCCCCTCCCCTTAAAACTGTTTGGGTTGTCTTTTGCACAAGAGTTCACACAATAAAGAAGCTTTGTTGCTTCCACCGACACCCAGCGCATTCTGAAACGCCAGCAGACTTGCAAAACAGTCTGCTAAGTGTACTATCCCCAAACGTTCTGAACAAGATTTATTACGAGCCTTGCCCCGGTTGTAGGAGCATAGCAGCTGGCATTCCTGCAAAGAAGTAGATGCCATTTCTGCAGAACCTCAGTGAGAAAGAGGCACCGACCGATGGCTAATAAAAAAAAAAAAGGGGGGGGGATGCTGTAAATCTTAGCCAAGTCCTGTCAGATCAGATCAAAGTTCTGCAGGAGGCACCGTAGTTAAATAAAGGCTTGCATCATAAACAGATTCTTAAAAGGTTAGCAAAAATGGAACATGTTTAAAGATGGTGGGTTTTTTTTTTTTTGCTGCCTAATACTTCCCTTTAGGAGCTTTTTTTAAAAAAAAAATAATAATCAAAGGGGCATAATCTCACCAGAAATGAAGACTTTTTTACTTTTGATTTTCAAAAAGTACACCCTCTTATTCAAATCATTTGCTCATACAAAGATATCCAAAGGTAGGCCATAAAAGTACCATTAACTCAATCAATGGCTCCCAATGCTGCTAAACACTCTCCATCTTAATAGTCCTGTCACAGCTGTTTGTGACAGCTGTTTTCAACTCTTAAATCCAACACAAATACAAGTAGTCCTTGGCTTATGACCACAACTGAGTTCAAAATTTCTGTTGTTCAGTGAGACAGATGTTAAATGAATTTTGCCCCATTTTAGGACCTTTCTTGCCACAGTTCTTAAGTGAATCGCTGCAGTTGTTAAGTTACTAACACAGTTAAGTGAATCTGGCTTCCCCCATTGATTTTGTTTGTCAGAAGGTTGCAAAAGCAGATCACAGGGACACTGCGACCGTCATAAATGGGAACCAATTGCAAAGCATCCGAATTTTGATCATATGGCCATGGGGATGCTGAAATGGTTGTAAGGGTGAAATACATGCCACTGTGAACTGTCACTAAACAAACTGTTGTAAGTCGAGGACTATCTGTATGTCACAAAATATGACAAGTGTCAAGAGGTCCCTTAGCCGGATAGATGGACCCCCAAGCTACTTGAATGTTTTGCAAAATCAGCATTCAGAATCTCCTGAAGGGGCACAGCCTGGCTTCAAAACTGGAAACTTCTGGTGGTGCAGGTTGAGTGAGCCTGGTTTATTCTCACAAATGCATTAGGAAACACGGTACTTACGGGTGAAATCCATGTTTAAGGCCAAGGTGGGCTGGAGGCCTCCTTGGCTGTTTTCTTCGTCAGATTCCCAACCTGACAAAGCTGAAGAGGATGAGAAAGGAGAAGATGTAGATAAAGAGAAGATGTGTGAAAGATCATCTTCCAATTCATCATGTTTCCGCTTTAGCACTCCTGTCATGATTAGGAAGAGATTTTTTTCTTATATCTGAGTGGAAAGAACAAAAAGAAGAGACAGTCATGAGTAACACAAGTCCAAATCATTTTCAAAGATATGCTCCAAATAAAACATCACCAGACAGAAAAATTTTCAAAAGATTCTCAACAACTGGAAGACGAGATATGAAGACAAAGATTTCTTCAACCCAGCCATCCCTCAACTCTTCATATGAGCTTAGACTACATCTCCACCTACCAAAAAAAACCCGTTATTCTCCTTCAAGACATCCACAATTCCTTCACACAAGGAACTCTGATGCCCAAACTCAACTGAACTCAACAGGACAATTCCGGGTCAAGATCAGCCAGTATATCTAAGAAGCCTACATGACACTCACGGGTTCTTCTGCAATGTTCAGTGGTTTCTTGGCATCCAGGTTGGCCTGGGAAGGGGCTGCTCATAGGAAGGAGTGCTTGAAAGCCCCCTGGTTAGAGAGGTGAAACCAAATTGTATTGAGGGTCACTCCTGAAGAAAAGTTCTGCATGACCCGATCCACCATTTTGATAGCTCCAAGCATAGGACACCCCTCCCCCAAAGACACTTTGCTTTCTCTAACTTTGTCTAGGATAGTGCCAGCTGAGAAATTCTGGGAGTTGAAGTCCACAAGTCATAAAGGGGCCATGGTTCCCCACCTCTGGTTTAGGACCACTGTTTCTCAGCCCCTTGCAACTACGTATGCCAGCTGGGGAATTTTGGGAGTTGAAGTCCACACATCCTCAAGCTTGGTGGAGAAACATTGCTCTAGATCAGGGGTGGGGAACCTTGGCTCTTTTATGACTGGTGGACTTCAACTCCCAGAATTCCTGAGCCAGCCATGCTGAGGGGAAAGAAAAGGTTTCCAAGCTGAGCCATGCCTTTGAGGTCTTCTAGTCCAACCCCCTGCTCAGGCAGGAAACCCTATCTGATACAGATAGACCAGGGGGTAGGCAACCTTGGCTTTTTTTATGACTCGTGGACTTCAACTCCCAGAATTCCTGAGCCAGCCATGCAGGAATTCTGGGAGTTGAAGTCCACGAGTCATAAAAGAGCCAAGGTTGCCTACCCCTGCGATAGATCCAAAACTACAACTAAGGAAAAAACATGCAGTGAGTGGTTTGTTTCCAGGAACAGGCAGGCCGTACATGCCTATATTTCAGAAGTGAAACAGCCAGAAAATCAACCTGCCTTGTGTTTTAATTCAGACTTGGGCAAAAGGTCAGTTTGTGCAACCCTGGTCCAAAATCTAGGGGCGTCAGCGTGGAATGCAACCACCCTGACATAAACACATAGAAATCTCATCTCGTCTTGCTAAGTTGCCAACAAAGACATTTTGTTCGGATCTCCCAGTTCTTACTCATCTCGTTTGACCGAGAACAGCCTTTTTCTTTCTTTCTTCCTGTCTTTTTTTTTTTTTTTTTTAAATACCCACCCCTAACCAGAAACACGATGAAGCAGATCAAACCCGCAGGAATTCCTCTCTGGCACAGCCAGCTCTTCCTATGCTGGGAACACTTTCCGAAAAAGTATTCAGCCCAGATGCACATTCTTCTCTGATTTGAACATCTCGTTTTCAAAAGGAAGGTGCAGGTCAGGGATGGAAAGGAAAAGAAGGGGAGGAGGGGGGGGCGAGGAGGCTGTGTGTGAAAGGATAATGCAACCAGCTCCGAAGTTTGCAGAAGTAAGAAGGCTTAAAGAGCAAATTCTGCTTCTAATCTGCTACAAAGGCAGGATCTTTCAGTGGGAAAAGTTTTTAGGGCTCTCTTTCAAGTGGTTTGTGGTTGCCCCAACAGGAGGAGATAATTCCCCCCACCATCACCATCACCAAAAATAAACTGGCAAGAAATTACATTCTGCAGGGGGGGAAAAAAACCTGTATTTGTGCAAATGCAAATGCACAATGCCAATTGCCTCAAGCTTTGATCCAATGAAGGAAAAACTGAGCATTTTTTTTTTAAACTGCATTGCTATTCTTCATTAGCATGACCGCATACAGTGTAAGAGAGCTAGTGAAAAAGTTGAAAAGAAATCTCCCCTATGTGTTGCTCCACTTTGGAGGCGATCCTGCAGAGCTGAAACTGGATGGCTCTGGATCAGCCCTGCCAGGATGAAACTTCTCCTTGTAATCTAGAAAAAATTCAAACATTCCTTTGAATTCAGGCCTTCTCAGCCAGCCAAAATCCCTATTGCGCAACAAATATTTCTTGTTTGGCCTGTCAAGAGTTGGAATCTGCCTGATGTCCAAGATTTCAAGGTGGTGTTCTTACCACTTGCTCATCCAGTTCTTCTTACAATACCCCTGCAAAGTTGGCTGGGCAGAAGAACAGGGACAGGGCCAAAAATCATCTAAATGTCCTTGATTGAAGGCAGGTTTCTTTCCCCACACTCCTATCTCAGTCCCAAGCTGGTGATGGATGGATCTTGCCCTCTAGCATGGAGCCAGTTTGGTTTATTGGTTAAAGGCACCAGGCTAGAAAGCAGAAGATGGTAAGTTCTACTCCCACCTTAGGCATCAAAGCCAACTGGGTGACTTTGGACCAAACACCAGGAGATGGTGAGTTCTAGTCCTAACCTGGCCATCAAAGCCATCTGGGTGATTTTGGGCCAATCACCAGGAGACTCTGAGTTCTACTCCCACCTTAGGCATGACAACTGCCTGGCTGACTTTAGACCAATCATCAGGAGTCGGTGAGTTCTAGTCCCGCCTTCGGCATGAAAGCCAGCTAGGTGACTTTGGGCCAATCACCAGGAGACTCTGAGTTCTACTCCCACCTTAGGCATGACAACTGCCTAACTGACTTTAGACCAATCACCAGGAGTTGGTGAGTTCTGGTCCCGCCTTGGACATGAAAGCCAGCTAAGTGATTGCCGGCCAGTCCTCCCCCCCTCTCTCTCAGGCCAATTCACCTCACAGGGTTGTTGTAGGAAAAATAAGAGGAAGGGACATTTGGCATGCTTGCCACCTTGAGTTAGTTATAAAAAAAGTCAGAATATAAATAAATAAATTGGTACTCCTTCGAACAACAGACAACCCCTTGCACTCCTGGGAATAGATCTAACAGTCGTCTTCCCTGCTACATTGGCGTCACATAAACACATGGGCTTCTAAAAATAATTATGGATTATCCAAGCCCAGCTCTTTCCCACTAAAAAGCATCTATGGCTTCAGAATTCCAAATTTGCTTCACAGCTCAGAGATCCCAGTAGAAGCACATGAAAACACATTGGCCTGGGGCATGTGCAGAGTGCTTTCCCCTCCCCAACACAAATGACGGTTTCAGAGTGGAGGGGCACTCTGGAAAAAAATCAGAGAAGAGCAACTAAGAGGATCCAAGGCCTGGAGACTGAAACATACAAAGAACGGCTGCGGGGCTTGGGTTTGGCTAGTCTAAAGAAAAGAAGAAACAGGGGAGACATGATAGCAGTGTCCCAGTATTTGAGGGGCTGTCACAAGACAGAGGGGCCAGGTTGTTCACCAAAGCACCAGAGGGAAGGATGAGAAACAATGGTTGGAAACTGATCAAGGAGAGAAACAACCTGGAATTAAGGAGAAACTTCCTGACAGTGAGGACAATCAACCAGTGGAACAGCTTGCCACCAGAAATCGTGGGCGCGCCATCACTGGAGATTTTAAAGAAGAGACTAGACAATCACCTGTCTGAGATGGTGTAGGTCAGTGTTTCTCAACCTTGACAATTTTAAGGCATGTGGACTTCAACTCCCAGAATTCCACAGCCAGCATTCCTGGCTGTGGAATTCTGGAAGTTGAAGTCCACATGCCTTAAAATTGTCAAGGTTGAGAAACACTGGTGTAGGTTCTCCTGCTTGATCAGGGGGCTGGACTAGAAGACCTCCAAGGTCCCTTCCAGCTTTCTGTTCTATTCTATCATGATCCCACTCCTTCCTCCAAATAATAATAATAAAAAAACCAGCCAGCGTCCAGCTGCCTGGATGTACGAGAACACACTGTGTACATGAGGGAAGTTAAGGACACTTAGCTTCGGAGATTCTTTGGTCTCCCGGTGCCAGCTTGGGCGCGGGAAGCCCATCCAGCCTCTTTGGCGCTGCTGCACATGCTGAGGCCCTTTCCAAAGCTGGTTTCAGCTACAGAAGCCATGCCAGCTGTGTGGGTGCTCAGCTTGGGAGCGATGATTTACTACTGAGACTGATTTACAACCACTCTGAGAAAGCAACCAACCAGGCTGGTGGCACTGAACGCGCCACCCACATTTCTCCAGGCTTTGGGCTGTTAACAGCCATCTAGTGGGGAACCTATTTCCAGACTTCTGTGCCATAAATAACAGCCCTCTGTTTCCTGAAGAAACATCCTCAAAAAAAAAAAAAAAAGACAAAAAAAGCCCCAGCATCAATATACTTTGCTGCAGTTGAGGAAACCTGAATCTTCACACAGAAAAGTGAACAGCTATGAACAGAATAGAATAGAATGGAATAGAATAGAAGGGACCTTGGAGGTCATCTAGTCCAACCCCCTGCTCAGGCAGGAAACCCTGCCTACACCATTTCAGACAAATGGCTGTCCAGTCTCTTCTTAAAGACTTCCAGTGTTGGAGCATTCACCGCTTCTGGAGGCAGGTTGTTCCACTGGTTAATTGTTCCAACTGTCAGGAAGTTTCTCCTTAGTTCTAGGTTGCTTCTCTCCTTGATTAGTTTCCACCCGTTGCTTCTTGTCCTGCCTTCAGGCGCTTTGGAGAATAGCTTGACTGCCTCTTCTTTGGGGCAGCCCCTGAGATATTGGAAGACTGCTATCCTGTCCCCCCCTCGTCCTTCTCTTCATTAAACTAGACAGACCCAATTCCAGCAACCGTTCTTTGTATGTTTTAGTCTGCAGGCATTTAATTATCCTAGTTTCTCTTCTCTGCACTTTTTCCAAGGTTAAGTTTGGAGAAGAAAGACAAAAGAAGATAGGAGCAGACAAGACCAGCTTTGCAGGGAAAAAAAATCACCCAAGTAAGGAACATCTTATA